CATTTTATAAATAGAGTATGATCAGCTTGGGCCTGTTTATATCCTTGTTTTAAACAAACTGTGTGAACCTATCAAACCAAGCCCTTGGGGACTATTTGAGTCCATACAAAGATTTTTCTAGCTTACATACTCTTGAACCAAACGTGCTTTCAAATCCAGGAGGACGATTCATGTAAACTTCCTCCTCAAGTTTTCCATTTAAAAAAGCATTCTTCACATCTAACTGTTGAAGAGGCCAATCTAAATTAGCAGCAAGAGAGAGAAGGATTCTGATAGTATTCAACTTTGCAACTGGTGCAAAGGTCTCAGTATAGTCTATGCCATAGGTTTGTGTATAACCTTTGGCAACTAACCTTGCCTTATATCTTTCAAGAGTGCCATCTGCCTTGAACTTAGGAGTGAAAATCCATCTACATCCAATTGTGGGCTTGTTTTTAGGTAGCTCTACAACCTTCCATGTCTGATTCTTTTCAAGAGCATCCATCTCTTCCAAAATAGCTTTCTTCCACTCAGGTTTAGATAGAGCTTCCTGTATGGTTGATGGGATAGAAATAGAAGAGACAATAGAAGAAAATGTTGCAAATGTAGAGGATAATCTAAAATAAGAAACATGGTTTGAGATAGGATATTTGACACATGACCTTCTTTCTTTTCTGAGAGCTATAGGTAGATCAAGATTAGATGAGTCATTACCTTTTTTCATTTACTGGCACCAGGTCAGATTCATCAACAGATGTAGGTTCAGAGACTTCCTCTTCTCTTTGATTTGGAATTTTTCTCTCATAAACCTTGCCAAAGAACTTACTGATCTGCAGGTCTTCTTTTCCCATTTTATCAGTTAAATTTATCTCATTATTTTCTGAAGCTTGACCATTTTTTAATGCATCTAAATTTCTAATAGAATGCATATCTAGATTAATATCAAGAAAATCAAGATTGTCATGAATATGTGACACATTGTTAGCATCTTCATTTAAACTCTCCCCCTGAAGATGAGTATAAAAAAATACTTGATTTAAAACAAAAACAGTGTCCATTGAAATAAACATCTTTTTTGTTGAAGGATCAAAGCATTTATACCCTTTCTGTGTGGATGAAATGCCTAGAAAGACACACGTTGTTCCTTTAGGATCAAATTTACTTGTTGTTTTGTCTGGATTTTTGATAAACACAGTGCAACCAAAGATTTTTAAAGGAAAAGTGCTTATCAATCTAGTAGTAGGGTAACATTCCTGAAGAATACTAATTGGAGTTTTAAACCCTAAAACTTTTGATGGCATCCTATTTAATAAATAGGTAGCATGTAAAACAGCATCTCCCCATAAATATTTTATAAATATTTTGGAACTTTCATTGAAAACATGATTGCACGTGTGACTTCAAGTAAATGTCTATTTTTCTCTCAGCAATTCCATTTTGAGCTGGAGTAATACAAGAACTCTGATGAATTATTCCTTTTTCAGCAAAAAATGATTCAGGTTTTTAGAAAAGTATTCACGGCAATTATCACTTCTCACCATTTTGATATTGGTATTGAATTGAGTTTGGACCATGGCATAAAACTGCTTAAATACATTTTCTATTTCTGATTTTTCCTTAATCAAGAATACCCAGGTCACTCTTGTACGATCATCAATGATTGTTACTCCCTCTGTCCCACTAACAATGGGACAAGAGGGTGTGACACGCAAATTAATAAAAAGTGGTTTATGTGGTTGATATTGAATTGATAAAGTGAGAAAAAAGTAAGAATGATTTAGATCCACACAAATTTTACCAAATAAGGTGTGGGACAGACCGAAATGGTAAAATGGGACAATCTTAGCGGGATGGAGGGAGTACAAACCATCTTTTTCCTTAAGTTAGGGACTCTAGATGCTCCCCAAATATCACTATGCACAAGAGTAAAAGGACTGGTAGGTTTGTAACTGTGGAGAAGATAAGGATTTTTATGATGCTTTGCAAGTGTACACATATCACAATGAAACTGTGAAACATTTTTATTATGAAATAATTGAGGAAACAACTTTTTAAATAATGAAAACTAGGATGACTTAGGTGATGTTCTGTTCGTCTTATTCTTATTTTATTCAGATCAGATCAGAAAAATTCAGATAAGATCAGATCAGAAAGATTCATATCAGATCAGATCAGAATTATTCAGACCAGATCAGAAAGATTCGGATCAGATAAAAAAAATTCAGATCAGAAGCATTCAGATCAGATCTGATCAGAAAATTTCAAACATGATTTATCACTTTTATTATTATAAAATAATAATAAAAATAATAATAATAATTATTATTATTATTATTATTAATATTAATATTATGATTATTATTGAGGTGATTATTATTATTATGATTATGATTATTATTATTATTATTACATATTATTGTTATTATTATTATTGTTGTTGTTGTTATTGTTATTATTATTATTATTTATTTTTATTATTATAAAGAGTAATTATAATTATAATTACAATTATAATTATAGAAATAATTATGATGAAAAACATAATTACAATTATAATTATAATTATAATTATAATCAGTGTAGTAGGTATATTTTTCATAACTTTAATTATAATTATAATTATGATTATAATTATAATTAAATATTTTTAGAATTATTACTATAATTATAAATTATATTTACATTATTTATAATTACAATTATAATTATAATAATTATAATTATAATTAAAGAAATATTCAGATCAGACCAGATCAGAAAGATTCAGATCAGATCAGATCAGAAAAATTCAGATCAGATCAGATCAGAACTTAATAAATTCAGATCAGAAACATTTAGATCAGACGAAGATAACAGCTTCTTAGTCTATAATGAATTAAATACAACTCATGATTACTGGGAAAAGCAATAGTTTGCAGACAGGCATTTCTTTGACCTTATTTATTTGATTCAATCCCTTTATCAAAGATATAGAATCCATCTTCTTCCCTAGCACTGCCAATCATCTTCCCTGATGCCAGATCCTGAAAAATGCAATAGGAAGGATAGAATTTAACACAACATTGGAGATCTTTGGTTAATTTGCTAACAGAAACAAGATTACAGGAGAGATTTGGGACATGTAGGACTTCAGAAAGATCAATAGAAGTGGAAACTTTAACATTTCCAGTTCCTGCAATGGCGGAAAGAGAGCCATCTGCAACTTTTATTTTTTGTATCCCCTGCACAGGGTTTATAAGAAGAATATAGATTGGAAGTGGAGATGTCATCTCATATAATGAGATGGTATCCCTATGGCAAGAGTTGGACCAATGCTATGATGCTGAAGAGTGGGAGAGTGTCAAGGATCTGGCAAGACACAAGAAGAGGGAGGAAAATGAGAGGGCCTATATGTTCCTAGCAGGAATTAATAGAGATCTGGATGAAGTTAAGGGAAGAATTCTTGGGAAAAAACCTCTACCTTCAATCAGGGTGGAAGATAGTAGGAAAAAGGTCATGTGGTTTATTGCACCTGAGTCAATGACCCAGGTGGTATTTGGTTTTCCAGAACAGAAAAATGATGTAATTTTACCATTCTGAGCAAAAGAACAAGAAGGATTTTCTGATTTAGGGGTCTTTTGGGTATTGAGAAGTTGAAGGAGTTGCTTTATCTGTTCCTTGGTGAAAAATGGCTGCTTGAAATTGACTTGTTGCCCTTGTTCAGACTCAAGTATGGCAGTATGTAGGGCCCTTTCAACCTTTTTATGTCCTGCTCCAGGTGGTTTGCCATGAATCTTCCAACAGGTTTCCCTAGTGTGCCACAGCTTCTTGCAATGATCACACCAAGGCTTCTTCTTCTCATTTCCTTTGGCAATCATTGCTGAGGACTCTCCTGGTTCATCATAATGTACTGAAGTGTTATTCATGACCTTTTTCCTACTATCTTCCACCCTAATTTCAGAAAATACCTCCCTGATTCAAGGTAGAGGTTTTTTCAAAGAATTCTTCCCTTGACTTCATCCAAGTCTCTATTAATTCCGGCTAGGAACATATAGACCCTATCATTTTCCTCCCTCTTCTTGTGTCTTGCCAGATCCTTGGCACTCTCCCACTCTTCAGCATCATAGCATTGGTCCAATTCTTGCCATAGGGATACCATCTCATTATAGTATGAGATGACATCTCTACTTCCTTGTTTGGACTGCCACAACTTTGTTTTTAATTCATAAATCTGAGAAGAGTTCTCAAGATCTGAATAGGTTTCTTTAATTGAATCACATACCTCTTTTGCAGTTTTCATGAACATGTGAGGTTTGGCGATTGATGCATCCATTGAACTGAGAAGCCAGGCTGTTACCAAAGAGTTTTCTGACCTCTAGACACTGTAGCCATCATCACCACTTTTCTTCTCCTCTATTTCACCCGTTATGTATCCCAGCTTTCCTTTTCCATCAATTGCCAGCTTGACAGACTGTGACCATTCTAGATAATTAGTTCCATTCAATCTATGTCCAGTAATGAGCATAGATAAATTAACCGAGGCCTGGTAGTTTGTCATTTGGCTAATTTGGGAGTGAGGGTAATGGGTTTATGAGTGAGGGGAAGAATCAGAGTGCTCGGTTTCCACCATTGTGGTGTTTAAACAGCCCTCTCTGATACCATGTAAGTTTGAGAGAATAGAATGAATTAATTTATTCCATCATCCGGGTACAGTATATATAGGATACAAGTCTAACAGCTTCGATGATGAGATCCTAAAAATTAGGATCTGACTAACTACTAATACTTATCTAATACAAGAGAGCTAATTACATCTGATTACACTACGTATTTATCTACAACTGACTGTACATTTTTTACATTTCCCATTTGGAAAAAGTTCACTTGTTTACAAAATTGTCACCACATGTTTTTATAAATATTGCATGTTTTTAAACTGCTTAAAGTGCAGCAGCTTACCGTAAAAGTACGGCCGAGGTTATTATAACTACATTTCGCACTTTTCTTAATGGCAGAATTAGTAGATTCAAGTAAAGGTAAACCTGAACCAGCTGAGACTTGAAACCAAGAGTTCGATAGCCATTATGATGAATCATTCTCTCTGCAAGCTGATTAGCATACCCTGCACACAAAGCTTTCCGCAAATTTTTGTAGTCTTGTTCACTTTCTTTGTGCCTTCTACTTGTTTGGACAACCAAAGACTCTACAATTAATGGCAATAGGTGTTGCATGTGAGAATTTTGATTTTTTAGCAAACAAAACCAGGGCACCTTTGTCATCTTTATACTATCCCTACAGTGCGCTTTAATACATTGACACTCAATTTCATAGTTTCATCAGTGTTCGAAGTTGTAAGCAAGCCTTATTTTTACACTTTTACAGGCAGCATCATGTGCACTGTTTTTTATAGGGACCTGGAAGAATAAAACTAATAACAGTGCTAATAATAATAATATTAAGATTAGTATAAATAGAAGCTGAGTGAAGAATAAGGGGTTGGTAGAATTTCAGTTGGAAATTGGGATTGTGCTTGGGAGAGAGACTGCTCAAAGTGTCTCAAAGTATCTATTTCTTCTCTTTCTTTCTATTTCTGCCATGGTTGTTCGTGTAATCCTGTTGCTTCATTAGATTTTCTAATCAATATATTGCTAGTTTCCTGCTGCGTTGGTTGAGTTCCTATCAGTTTTTCAGAGCAGGTGGATTAAAATTTGGGGGGCAAAACTGCATAAATGAAGAAAGAAAATGAAAGCACCAATTGAATTGGCCATTTACTTTTCAAGGAGAATCCCGAAACCATTTTAATGGAAGATTAGATCAGAAGAAAAGTTTTGGATTTTAGACTAGAATGCACAGAAACGCTAATGGGTAGAAGTTTCCCCGTATCAGAAACGTAGTACGTACCAACGTTTCCGAATGGCTGAAACGCTGGATACGAGTGTCTGAGCTCGTTTCTTAATTTTCAGAAATTGGGAAACACGTTTCCCCCAAAAAACAGAGCTTTGAAATTTTCTTGACCAAAAATAGAAACTTAGATTAGGAATCAGGGGACACCTTTTTACATTGAAACGATCCATACTCCTGCAAAAAAATCTAGAAACCCAAACAAATAAATCTTAGGTAGAATTAGTCGTCTTGTCTTCAGCACTAATCTTCTCCACCAGTTCGTCGGCTTCAACAGACGTCCTCATCTTCTCTCATCCGCAGGCTGGTTTCTTCAGCAGTTTACGACTTTTAACTCTTTCTCCTTCTGCGACACGGAGTCCCAGACTGCTGCTTAATTTCTTCTCTTCTGGGTCAGTGGTGGGATTTGAGACTTCGTATTTAGTGGGTGGGGGATAAAAAATCAAATTGAACTTAGGTGATGATGTGGTGTCCATTAAAAAGGAGTAATTTTTGTTGGTGGCTGGCATGTACTTAATTATTTGGGCGAATTGTTTACTTTATAATTAATGTGTTGATTTTGTGTTCTATGTTATGTTAGGGGTTAATTTTTGAATAATTCAACTTTTCAATATGGTGAGTTATTATTATTTAGGACAAACTAATAACATATGCTGTACGAATGTGTGTACGAATATATTTTATTATATATATATTTATTTATTTATAAATAAATCCCTACATTTTTTGTATTTACGTCTTTCCCCCACATTTTGTTTCCTGTATTTTTTAGAAAATTGTGTTTCCGGCGTTTCCCGTATCCGGTTTCCGTGCTACTTAGATTTTAGAACATCGCCAGTTGTGGAATTACACCTAGGATGGGTCATGATAGGATTACATTAAGTGATTAAGGCATAACTAAGTTAAAAGCTAGAAATTCATACAAAAATCGCAAATTCATCAAGAAAAAAATGAAAACTGGGTAAAGGTACCTTTGGGCATTTTCTGCATTATTTGAGTCAACTGTTTCCTTACGTTTTTTACAAACATCATTCCTCGTACCTATCATTAACAAGTTCAACAATCAAAACTATTTAGAAGTCAAAAGACTCCAGCCAGTTACAGACAAGTTAGTAATGTCGAAAAATAGCTGGATACCTGCAAGTTATGTTCATTGCACCAGTCTATGCTATAATCAGTTTGATTCCATAGCTCATACAACTGAAGTAGCTGGATATGATCACCCCACCCAGATCCATCAGGAAGGTTTGATGGAGCTTGTTTCCTCTTCTTCTCAGTAACATTCCTGCTGAATAAATTGAATAAGAAATCACAAGTGCGTATGTCAAACATTTGGAACATGAATAAATATTAAATAGTCAAAAGGATTAAACAAAAGGTTAAGGAGCTTGTAATCACCACTATATATGCCACAACATTTTGATTTTTGACCAAGACAACCTGTGGCCATGTTTCAGGATTTACAGGTTGATTTGACAAATATCAATCTTGTAATTGAACAAGACAATAACAATATCTCAACTCATCACCGTCTGATAATATTTTCCATGCATCAGCAAATAATCTATGATGATGATGATTTTGGGGGTTTTCATCTCATTAATCTGTCTTATGAAGGTTGTGTCAGGTAGGGAATCCAGAGTAAAACATCATCACTGACTCACTATTCTTTTTGCATGAATTTAGAGTTAACTTTATACAATCAACTGGCACTATAATTTGATGCCAACCCCGAATAGCTGAGATTAAGGTGTGCTGATAACCAAAGAGTTGAGCTCATCTCTAACCTAATTAGTACTACCTCCGTCCCATTGAAAGATTCCCGTCCACTATTCACATGGCCAACTTAAATCATTCTTAATCTTTTGCTGTATATATCAAATTTTTATCAAATTTACATTTTTTATCAGGCTTTGTAGCGGTTTTAATGTAGTTTCTGAATATGTAAATTTTATTTAATAAAAATAATAAAATTTGTGCACAGGGATTAAGTTGTTTTATCGTCAGTCAAGCATCGTAAACCGTAACGGGAACCTCTCTATGGGACAGAGGGAGTACAGTTTTTGGTGTCAGTACTATTCTGTCAAGCCCCACTAAACAACAAATTATCTAATCATTCAAACACGTTGTATTCTGTCAAGCCCCACTAAACAGCACATAATCTGATTAATCCATTTTATTTAGTACTGTAGTTATAAAGCCATTGTCTATCAAACACTGCTAACGTGCATTACTGGCTTATTGCAGACTTGCAGTTCATATATATTTTCATTCAAATCATCATCAGGGCTGATTACGGGTCCAGACCACTAGAAATACAGAATGCTTCAAGTTTTACCTAGGGCCAAGAAGCAAATTTGTTTCCGCCGATAACATAGCAGCAACTGTCAAAGCTTGAGATAAGCAACCTAAGTGATTGGCCTCTATTAAGGTCCTCGACAAAGAAGGCTCTAGTGGAAGTTCTGCGCAAAGAATGAAAGATGATCAGATTCTAATATATTTCTCTAGGGGAAACTCTATGCAAGGAATAAAAGATTATCAGATTCTAATATATACTTTTACCTTCTGCCTATATCAACAAAGCCTTAACAACAGCATTACTAGAGAACTATATACATGTCCACTTTGTTGAAGATTCCAATCAACCAATAAAATGTTATTTATTGGCATATTGCATAGGACTAACATGTGATAACAGCAGTACTAGAGAACTATATACACGCCCACTTTGTTGAAGAATTCAATCATACCAGAAGAATGTCTTTTTACCTATTTGACTAATGCATAGGATACAAATCAAAGATGGAGCTTACCAGCCATGGTTCGTCCAAGACATGTAATTGAACCGTTTTCATCAATAGCATCATTCAAATATAATTGTCTCAGGGCATCTTCTAAAGACTCAACTGCAGTTAAATAAGAAATGAATTAAATCACCAATACATCTGTAACAAATAACAATGAGAATACAAAAAAAAACATGTTACTAATATGACTCTTCAACATAGATAGCTGAGTACACTCTCAAGGAACAATAAATGCTTATTTAGAGCTAAAACACTATAAATGTATGTGCTGTAAAACAGGAACTCGCAACTGCAAACTAGTTATGAGATGTCCAGTTAACGAATCTACAGCAGTTTTAGACAACATTCTGCCGAAGTTTACACCTCATTATGTACAACTGCAACTCTCCCCATCAAGCTGAAACATTTAGAATGCTTCAAGCTGAAACATGTAGAAAGCTTCAAGCTTGCTATGACCAGGATGGCAAAAGACATGTTTACGTTACAACTCACTACAAGGAAGAAAATCACATTTTTAACTCGAGCATTACTGATTCATCCAGTAACACTATATGATACTCAGGGTACAAGAGAAGGGCTATGATACCATGTTCAATAGCAATACTAAAATAAAAATATTTATTTCATTGGTATAACTCTTCCTCTTACAAAACTTAGACACTATCTCAAATGACAATATCAGAATTCTGAAAATCAAAATCATTTCTGTAATTGACAACTATTTCATAAACGATTCACAGCTGCTTACAGCTCACAGGCTGCTCACTATTACAGCTTCAACAACATCATCTGATCACAAAATTAAGACTGAATTAAAAGTTATTAAGTTATGATGCTGAACCAAGATGCAATCATTACCTGATGGGGGGTCAAGGAAATCAAAATTTAGAACATCCAAATCAGGGAGATCTAATGACTTCAAATACAGAACAGCTCCAGCAAGAGAAGACCTCTGTATTTCAGGGACTGTAGCATCCAAAAAATCATCCTGATAAATAATAGAAGAATACAGACGGTAGCATTTTCCAGGTCGAGTTCTGCCAGCGCGTCCTACACGTTGATTGGCTTGCACCCTGTGTGCATTCCGAGCAGAAATGAAAAATGTACTGTAACTGGTGACTTAAGTAGGCCAAAGAGTAGATTTAACTTGGAGAAAAATGTGTTGCAAAGAACACTCTGTTCTATAATACTTAAAAGTTACCTTCAAGGCTTCAATTCATAATAAAGAACTAAGTGAAAATCAATTATACAAACATTGAATTAATCAAGTATAGATTTATATACTCTGGAGTATTTAACTTTTCTCAGATATCAGAGTTCATTAATAGGTGGTTCTTTCTGTAATCATAGAAGATATAATATGGATTGCAAGAATATGCTTTGCAGGCACGCGGTATATTTTGCAAAACACTCCAAAGATTTAGGCAAGCCAAATCAAGTTGCACTGACTATTAAATATTGCATTTTGGTAACACGGCAAAACACGTACCACCAAATTCCCAAAGACATAAGCCCGGAATGCGCAAAGGCAAAGGCGCGAAGCATTACAAAAATTAAACATGATATAAAAAGAAAATAGACATGCTAGTTTTTGCAATTTCCTCTGCTCTTGAATAAATTATATGCCCGTATGAAAAAATAAGCATACACTACATGCAATCAGAAGCAGTTCTTATGACGTACTTGCTAATTTGAACAACATCTAGTGAATACATGCCACTTGATGGGTTGTACTGCCGTTGCTTCACGTACCCAGCATCAATAACGTAGCTGTGAGAATAGTTAACTATTCATCAGAGATGCAACTCATGCAAGATTGATGCTACAGAATTTTAGATCATGTTACTTATCCACTGATATGAGCATATGATTAAAAATAGTTTCATGTGCAAATAGTCCAGCAGAAACTGAATAGAGTGAGAAGAGGACAAGTAAAATTCAATGGCAGACTTTCAACTGGATGATGAATGCATAGTATCATAGATACTCTAACCAATTGAAGTGCTAGGCACTACAGCATTTTGTGTAGCAACTGCATGCATTCAGTAGCCATTCACAAATATGGATTTTCTAGTGGCAACTGGCAAACCTATTATGTTTTTACCTTAAATAGTTAGGAACTTCGGAATCTGTTTTGGGTGCAAAAACAAATGTTTACATAATAGAGTTTACTGATAACTCCATACAAGGCAGTAGTATATATTCGAGTAGCAAAATTATAATATAATTTCACAAAACGAAAAGTTAAACAACTCATATTTAAGTGCATCAAGCTATCTTACACAACACCATCTACGGTCAAAGAAGTTTCAGCAATATTTGTAGCAACAATAAATCGCCGGCAGTTTGGAGGTGGACGGTTGAAAACACGGACCTATATAATCAGCCAAAAAAGAATAGGGAACAAAAAAATTGTAAATTAGGAAGCATTCATAGAATACCAAGTTTAAAACGTCTTTAGCACTTATGCTTAGGCTAAAATGACACAAAAAGTGTTGGGCCTACAGCCCCATGGGTGGAAATTAGTGCTTGCACCCTAGTAGGATGATGCATGCTATATTGTTAGATTACGGAAAGGTAAAAGGATCAAGTAGAAGATTGAGGAGAGTGATAGCTGATTGATTTAATTCTAATTTGATTTTAATACCTTTATTAGTTAAACTACTTTAGAAAGTCATTGTCCAGGATTTCCCTTTCCTTGTTTTAGGCATTCATAAGTATGTAATCCGTATTACAAAAAGGAGCTTAGCTGTGCTAATAAAATATCCAATAAAGAACTAAGAAGAAATCAATGCAAAAAAAAAAAAATCCAAATTCCAAAGGAGAAGAAAAACTACCTAAAATTCCACTGCTCCTTTTCATTTTATCGGTTTAATTCACTCACGTGAAATAAAGAATTAAGAATCCCAATACAAAACATAGGATGGGCCATACATCTTAGGGATTAAGCCTCTTGCTTTTGGCCAATTTTGACCCACTTTTATCTGTTTAATAATTATACACCAAGGGGGAACATAGCAAAAAAATAAAACCCACTTAGGTAGTTAGATCTGCAGTCTGTTGTTAAATTATTATTGGTCGAGATGTTACTGACCACCTATAAAGAAAGATACGTGATATACCGTAAAATGAGAAGGTGAATGATGAGAGGGTTGATACCAAGTATGCAACTTGTAATGGCAGTCTCTCTCCCCAACAATGGTACCTCTCTCACACCATTGGAGTAAAACAAAGTCAATGCAAGCAATAATGGTTCCAAGTTGTATACTTGTATATTATTAGAAATTTGACTAAATTGGAAACAGAAGGAATATGGAGACCTCTCTTGAAAGGGCCTAAGAGTGATACAGGAATTTATTGAGCCCAAGACTATGGTGCAGCAACTTGTTCACCATAAGTAATCTTTGTAGTGCATCTCCCAGAAAGATTAGGCACTAAAGTTGAACATACTCACAAGCATGTTTTGGGAAATTGGACATTACTGGCTGCACAACAAGTCTCTCCAAATGTCTTCTTCAAGTTATGTCCATAAAAAGCAGAAACTCTGTAGATACTATAGAAAAATCTGCTTTCATGTCTCAAGAATCTTGGTGACAGTCGAATGAAAGAAAAGGGAGAATGTGGTATTAAAATTTTCAAAGTGGTGACCAAACTGTCATTTTGAGATTATTAAAACATACTCCCTTTGTATTTAAAAGTTCCCTACACTTTCCTTTTTGGGTTGTATTTAAACATACCACATTCATTTTTTGGGTATCATGCATGTCCCAAGCCAGGATAGAGGAGGGTGTTGTGGTAGGCGCGTGACAGCCAACAGTATTACTTGGTCACATCACATGACATGAATCGAAATATGAATATCGCTACAGCTAGGTCGTCGCCCGCAAGCGAGGCATCATCCCTCCGCCTGGGGGTGGTGTCAAATATGCAAGGGCGCGCTACACTTCATAGGTCTAGGTGTGGTGATAAGAATGCTAAGGCTGCTAGGTCGTCACCCGGAAGCGACGCGGCACTCCAATGCCCGGGGATGGTGTCAAATATGCAAGGGCACGGTGGGAGTCGATGTGGTGTGAAGAAGAAAAGGCAGGGTGCTAGATCGTGTTTTGGGACATAGAATGTTGGCTCGCTTACGGGAAGATCATCTGAGATAGCTGAGATTATGAAAAGGGGGAATGTCAGCATAATGTGCATGCAAGAAACTAAGTGGGTTGGAGAAAAGGCACGTGAGATCAATCCCGGAGGTTTTAAGTTGTGGTATTCGGGGAGAGAAAGGAACAGAAATGGAGTAGGCATTACGGTGGCACAGGATTATGTCGAGGGTGTCGTGGAAGTCTTCAGGAAGAACGACCGCATCTTGAGCATTAAGTTGATAATAGGAGATGAGATCGTGTCAGTGGTAAGTGCCTATGCACCACAAGTGGGATTGGATGCATCTATCACTCGACAATTTTGGGAGGATCTTGAGGAGGTGGTGCGACGAGTGCCAAGAGGAGAGAAGTCGGTCATAGGAGGCGACCTCAATGGGCATGTGGGCCCAAGTCGTGATGGTTTTGAGAGTATCTATGGCGGACATGGTTTTGGCACTAGAAATGAAGCGGTGAAGAACATTCTGGATTTTGCTTCGACATATGAGTTGGCTGTGATGAACACTTGGTTCAAGAAAAGAGACTTTCACCTTGTCACCTATAGAAGTGGAGCTAATAGTACCCAAATTGACTACTTTTTAGTACGGACGACTTGGAGAACTAGCTACACTTATTGTAAGGTTATCACTCAACATAGGATGTTTGTGCTTGATTTTCAAGGTAAAAAGAGAAGGAGGGTTAAGGTACAAGGGGAGCCAAAGTGGTGGAGGCTAGAGGGGAATCTCCAACAAACTTTTACGCAGAAAATGTTGGAGGAAGATGTATGGTCCATTGATAAGGACGCACATGTGGATGATGTATGGTTATCAATGGAGTCCACCTTTAACAATGTGGCGAAAGAGATGTCTACCACCAAAAAAGGACACATCTTGGTGGAATGATGAGGTGAAACAAGCAATAAGGATCAAAAGGGAATGCTATAAGAAATTGGGCAAAAGTTGCAGCGACGAGAACATAGAGGAGTACAAGGAGGCTAGAAGAAGAGCAAAGAAAGTTGTAAAGGAAGCAAGAGGAAAAGTGAACAAGGAATTGTATGCAAAATTGGACTCTAAGGAAGGAGGAAAAGAAATTTACCGACTTGCTCGTCTTCGTGACCGTAGGACTCAAGATATAGGAAAAGTTAGGTGTGTGAAGGATGTCGATCAAAGGGTATTAATGGAGGACGGGGAGATAAAAGAGAGGTGCAGGTCTTACTTTGATACACTTTTCAACGAGAACAAAGCGCAAGATATCGGTGATTTGACCATACCAGATTGTATGGTAAATTGTGATTTTGTGAGAAGAATCCAAACAACGGAAGTTAAGGAGGCTTTGAGGAAGATGGAACGGAAGAAAGCAGTGGGACCAGATGGCATACTGATCGAGGCGTCGAGTGGTTAACAAGTTTCCTCAACATGATTTGGAGAAACAACAAGATGCCAACGAGTTGGAGGAAGAGTACTCTTATCCCCTTATTCAAGAATAAAGGTGATGTACAAGAATGTGTCAACTATCGAGGGATTAAGCTTATGAGTCACACCATGAAACTTTGGGAGCGAGTGATTGAGCAAAGACTTCGAAGAACTGTGAAGATTTCAGAGAATCAATTCGATTTTATGGAGAAGTATAGAGACGCTCACAAGGATCTGCATTTGGTGTTCATTGACTTAGAAAAGGCTTATGATAGGGTACCTCGAGAAGTTCTTTGGTGGGCCTTAACTAGAAAAGGCATATCACGCAAGTATATCAGCATCATCATGGATATGTATGAGGATTGTACTACAAGTGTTTGTACTAATGTAGGGCAGACTGCGGAGTTCCCTAATACTATCGGAGTGCACCAAGGATCGACTCTGAGCCCTTTCTTATTTGCCATAGTCATGGATGAACTTACGAAGTCAATTCAAGACGAAATACCGTGGTGCATGATGTTTGTCGACGATATTGTATTGATTGATGAGACGCAATCAGGTCTTAAAGCAAAGATGGAAGTATGGCGACAAACTTTGGAGAACAAGGGTTTCAGACTAAGTCGGAGCAAGACAGAGTACATGGAGTGCAAGTTTGGTGGGGGTAGAAGCAGTGGTAATAATGGAATTACTCTAGATGGTAAGGGGATGTCGGTCAGTGATATGTTCCGTTACTTGGGCTACATAATTCAGAAGGACGGTGAGCTAGATGGAGATGTATCCCATAGAATCAAAACATAGTGGATGAAGTGGAAGAGTGCGTCAAGATTTCTATGTGATAGAGGTATGCCGACCAGACTGAAGGGTAAATTTTATAGGACAACAATTAGGCCTGTATGGCGTAGAGTGTTGGGCGGTGAAATAATGTCACATCCAAAAGATGAGTGTGGCAGAGATGCGCATGTTGCGTTGGATGTGTGGGCATACTAGGAAGGACAAAATAAGACATTGGTATAAGACATATATAACACTGAAGTTGAGTGATAATCGAGCAGCCATCCATATGCCAACAATCTGATGCTATACGAGAGGACAAAATAAGTTGAAGTGGATTGTCATTTCATATGTGAAAAGATTTAGTTGATATCGGTTTCTACGTCGTATGTGCAAACTAGTGATAAGCTGTCAAATACAGAGTACATTTAAAAAGAGACTCAACAGAGATAAAGCTGACTCTTTGTATGATTAAGTTGTTGACATCGGTTTCTACTTCGGCATGGTTAATATATATGTTCCAACCTGAAGTCCTAAATGGAGTGCTAAATTATTATAGGGTTGTTGTGTTTGGGCCTAGCCCATATGTGTGTCCCTATGTGTCTGTGTTCTAAGGGTTTATGAAGGAAATAAGAACTCAGCTTTTGCATGAAACAAATACAAGAATCTTCAAAAAAATGTGATGTTAGATAATTCTTAATTTATAATCATATTGTTACTAAAGAAAGATGGGGATAAGAGGTGTATTTGATGATTAAAATGGAGATGGAAAATTAATCCTAGGTGAGACCAAAAACTGCAAAGTTGGATTTAGTGTGTGCCTTACTTCTGTCTTTCAATGGAAACCAAGAGAAATTATAAAGAGCTATAGAAGATGGGTTTGCGAATTTGCCTGCATTTCAGGTGCCAAGGATCCGTGAAGAGGAAGCACTATAGCATCCATACAAGAACCTTCTTCAAGGCTCCGGATTTTATCCTCCAACTTAGACACCAACCTGCCAATGTCATCCTAGAACAAATAGCACCTCATCATATTAATGGAAAAAGAATCATTTACTATAGCTATAGAACAGACAAACCTATAGCTTCAACCTTAAATTTAAGGTAAAGTAGATTCAAGCTATAGAACAGACAAACCTATAAATGAAAGAGATCATATTCACCTGTCCAGTCATAAATATTAAGACATCGCCTTCTGGTTCTTTTAAATGTATATCTACAGGTCATATAGTTTTGTTAGATGAAAAAACATTATATCATCAAATTTGATATTATAATTAATAATGGAAAAAGTCATTTTCAATAGAGCCAAAGACTCTGATATGAAGCGGGAAGAGCATGTGGCGGGACCGGACTTGGGCCCACTTCCGTGGGCCGGTTACGGGCTGTTTAATTAATATTTATTATTCCTTTTATTTTGTTTCCTAATTTAATTTGTTTCCTAGTAGAATTTATTTAGGACTTCTATTCTTACTAGAATTAGAGGTTTCCTATTTCTATTTAGTTTCCTAGAATGATTTAATTAGGAGTTCTATTAGAACTAGAGGTTTCCTATTCTATTTAGTTTCCTAGAATAATTTAATTAGGATTCCTATTCTTATTAGACCTAGAGGGTTATTTATACCCCTTGTATGCTTCATTCTTGAGAATCGGGGAATAAAAGTTTGGTTTAGCCTTTTGGCTTTGGGCAACGATATTTATTTATCGTTGATTATCTGGGCAACGGTTCACCCCGTTGATTTTACTTTTCTGTTCTTATCCATTGGTCCGACCTGCCGGATCCCCGTCCCGCCAAGATGACAAGAACTCAGAACGAACGACTGACGGAATTGGAGGCTGAACAGGCCCTGGTAAATCAAAAGCTCGATTCACAAGGAGAGAAACTGGATGTACTGGCTCGGAAACAGGAGGAGCAGGCCGCCCGGCTTGCGGAAATCGCAGAATCCCTGGCAGCAATCGCAAAGGCCATGGTACCGCCAGCGAAGTCTCCAAGCACGACCATCGAGAGCGGCTCCTCCGCCCACATCGTGACTGCTTTCACTGACGAGGGCGGACCGCGCAGCGCATCCACGACACTGCTTCCCTCATTAGACGGTGAAGACCCAATTGGGTGGCTGGCAAGAGTGGAGCAGCAGTTCGAGCTCAACAGGACCCCACCGGATAGACAAATTGCAGCGGCTAGGGTTTCTATGGAAGGGGCAGCCCTCTATTGGGTGACATGGTTAAAGGCGCACAAACCCGGCATATCCTGGGAGGAATTTAAGCAAGCCTTGGTGGCTAGATTTGATTCCCGATATCAAGGAAACAGATTTGAGCGGCTAGCTGGCGTTAAACAAATTGGGCAAGTGGAAGATTACAATACTTTGTTTGTACAACTCGCCAGTCAAGTACCCGGATTAACTGACGATCATTACTTGGGCTATTACATGAGTGGGCTTAAGGAGATAATCCGAAGCTCGCTGCGATTACTTCGACCAAACAACCTGGAGATGGCTATGGAATTAGCTCGCGAAGTGGAGTATAATCTGTCCGTCCAAAGTGGAGAAAGTGGCAGCCTGAATTATCATTCTTCGGGGGTACGTTCCAGCAGTTTTGTAAGGGCAAACACGGGTCCCCCGTTGACTGCCACCGGTGGCAGCTTACAGGGCTCAGGGGGCAGCTTTGCGAAGGATAGTGGACAGCCTCCGGGGACAAAGTCAGGGCTGTCTGGGCAGCCTACGACACGATCCCAATTCACTCGTCTTGCGCCAAAAGAGTTAGCAGATTTGAGGGCAAAAGGATTATGCTTTAGATGCAAGAAACCATTCACGCCAGGGCATGATTGTCCCTTTAAGCAGCTGCGGGTAATGATAGCCGAGGAGGATGAAGAGTTGGACCTCAAGCAGCATGAATTCTGCGAAATAACCGGCCAGGAAAGGGTTCATGAAGGAGAAGAAGGATATTTTCCAGTCTATACTATGTCTGGAAATTTCAGCTCCCAATCAGCGAGTTTTCAACCTTGAGGACAAGGTTATTTTAAGGGGGGTGGATTGATATGAAGCGGGAAGAGCATGTGGCGGGACCGGACTTGGGCCCACTTCCGTGGGCCGGTTACGGGCTGTTTAATTAATATTTATTATTCCTTTTATTTTGTTTCCTAATTTAATTTGTTTCCTAGTAGAATTTATTTAGGACTTCTATTCTTACTAGAATTAGAGGTTTCCTATTTCTATTTAGTTTCCTAGAATGATTTAATTAGGAGTTCTATTAGAACTAGAGGTTTCCTATTCTATTTAGTTTCCTAGAATAATTTAATTAGGATTCCTATTCTTATTAGACCTAGAGGGTTATTTATACCCCTTGTATGCTTCATTCTTGAGAATCGGGGAATAAAAGTTTGGTTTAGCCTTTTGGCTTTGGGCAACGATATTTATTTATCGTTGATTATCTGGGCAACGGTTCACCCCGTTGATTTTACTTTTCTGTTCTTATCAGACTCACTATTTTTTGGCTTGGGAATATGATGGAGTAAAGAAAAATGGCTCACTAAACTATATGCGCTTCTTTATTAAGAAGTGTTAATCAGTCCATGCAATTTCGACGCGAATTTCACTATGGGTTATCCGTAAACAGTCTCTCTGCTTTAGTACAGGGGTAAGAGTGCGTACATCCGAGCCCCCTTACCTCACCGTAGGTGGGAGCCTTTGCGGCACTGGAGTAATGATGATGATGATGATGAATTAATAATGGAAAGAGACAAAAGATAATTTTTCATTTCTATGTTCTAACAAATTGGTGTTAATTGTAAATATATGTACACCTAGTCTCATTCTATACTTGAGTAGTTGAGTCTAGACTAAGTCTTGCAAGAGCCTAACAAGTATTTACAAGAATAGAAAAAAGTGCCACTAATCAAATGGTAGTATAGTACTCCTCATCTTGTAGCTATTATTCTATCACACAATAGAGTAACAACTATAAGAGACTAAAAGTATTTAACCAACATAAAGAAAAGTTGAAGTTATGTTCATACCAAGGGCTGTTTTTAAACAAGCCTCCACATAGTTCTTGGGTTTTTCTGGGCTGTGTAGTATTTGAACTGGAAATAGTTGCCCCGGTACATTGAGCACTGGACAGTCATCAAAGAATTTGGATACTTTCTCACCATCCAGGGTAGCTGAAGTGACCAATACTTTCAAGTTAGATCTGCGCAGTTTAATCAATCTTCTCATTAAGCCCAGCAGTATATCCCTGTGCACAAAAAATACATACAAATAACAAACATTATACAAATAGATATGGATAATACTATTGTGTTCCAAAAAAAAGAACTAGGATTGTGTCAGACTAGGGTGTAGCACATAGAGGAAGTCAGGAGGAGCATAGGCAGGAATGCGGGATTAGGTGGGAACACAGGGTAATGCTGGATTTTAAATACAGAAATGTGAATGTGTGTGTTCACGCATGTGTGCACATATGGTATTTGTGAAAACAAAAATACTCCTATAATCCCACTTAGCAGGTCTCGCTTTTTAAAGTTTCTCCATAATTCTTTCCTTTTTGAATTCCATTAACTAATTGTCTTTCTAATTAATCATTTCTGATTAGATATTTGAACTTTTGCTACTTTTAATAAAAAGTATTTTCAAGAATAAAGATGGAATGCCAGCCTGATATCATTTATTTTCTTAATATGTGTGTAAACGCAGATGAGATCTATATTTTCGGAAAGGGTAAAAAAAGACAACAAGAGCATCACAGATTATTCAACAAATTAGAACTTCTACAGCAAAGAGTTGTGTAACAGGTTTACGTATTCAAACTTCTTTCGTGAGCTTCATCCAGAATAATGACTGAATATTGATTTAGCTCGGGATCTGATAAGCTTTCACGTAAAAGGACCCCATCCGTAAGGTATCTGTCAATTTAAAAAACCTCCATATTAGTAAAAAGGAACTTTATCAAATCAAGATTTGAAAGGTACGTTCACTATCAATAAGGGACCCAAAAGATAAAGTGTGTCAATATAGGATTTGAATGACTTAAAACTATCAATCTAAGGCCTAAAATGTCATAGATTTTGATTTATTTATTTTTTAGTAATTCCATTGTTAATTTTTTATGATTTTCTCGTTACAAAAGGTTATTAGTTTAATAAGATTAAATAATATTTAATTTTTTTTAAATACAGAAACATTAAAATTCATGGAATTTTAGGTCTTAGAGTGATAATTCTCAATCATTCGGACCCTATAGTGAAACAATTTATCTTCCAGGTCCCATTTTGATAGTGAACATAACTTTCAAGTCCTTAATTGATCAAATTCCTTGTAAAACAAAAGTAATTCAAGTAGTCATACAGATAAAGTATTTACGAAAACATAAAACAATTACTTGATGAGTGTCTTCTCAGAGGTCCTATCTTCAAATCGGATGGCATAGCCGACTTCCTGTCCGAGCTCAACACCAAGCTCCTCCGCAACCCGTCTTTGGGTGAAATAAATATGTAAATCATGTTAGAGATGTGAAATATGGAACATTAAAGACCAACCGTGCTAGTGCCGATAGAGTGTGACTAACGCAATATCACAAAATCTATAAGCTATTGCAGACAATCACACAACAATCCAACAGTCTTTTAGTTCTGGTTTTGTCATTGTGTTTACTGAATTGCCATGAACACAAAATTTAAATAGTGTAGTATTACAAATTTAAAGGTGGGAGTAACACTTATAGAAGATAAGACGCAGGAGTTTCGATTGTGGTGGTTTGGTCATGTGCATAGAAGATCGAGTGATGACTGGGGAGGATAGGAAGACCCAAACAGACTTAGATTAGAGGAATCAGAACTGAGATGCTTTTTCATGGGTTGGATGAGAGTATGGCTTTGAAGAGAGCAAAGTGGAGGGCGCATATTCGTATGGACTATTGATCTCTTTTCTCTCTCTTTTATGTTATCTTTTATCTTCTTTATATTTCTATGTTATGTTATTTTTATCTTTTATCTTTGTTTATGTTTTTTATCTTGTTATATTTTATCTTTCTTATGTTCTTATGTACTTTTATCTTATATTTATATTATTCATTTTATCTTACCTTATCTTTTTATTTTTCTTAATTTTCTTCCTGCAAGTTGACTAGTTATGCTAATTATCTTCCTTGGTAGATTTTTTCTTCTACATAAACATCTATATTTGTTTCACCATCTATACACAGTTACACACACATTATATGAGGAGAATAAATAAATTCAAAGAAGGCAATGGAGGGAGTAACTATCTAAGCCCCATGGACCATGGTTAAGTATAGGAACTACGAAGTAAGAATGTGAACTGAAACAATTGTTTCCTGTTAAAAGTTTAACTGGTTAAAACAAACGGTAACATCAATAATGAAAATAAACAGGAAAATTTCACTAGGAAACCAGCTTTGTGAACCAGTTTTGAAGAGGAAATATTACCTGGAGACAGTAACAGCTGCGACCCGTCGAGGCTGAGTAACAGCCACCATGCCGGTTTTGGTGTATCCCCTTCTGTGAAGCATTTGCGAGAGCTGGGTACTCTTCCCTGATCCGGTCTCCCCAATAAGCACGGTAACTGGATTTTTCGCAATGGTCTCTATGATTTTCTCTTCAAATTGAAGGATTGGCAACTCCATTGGTTGAATCGAGCTGCCCAAAATAAAGAATTTGCTAGGGTTTAAAACTATGTTTCTTCGTCCTACTTCCTAAAATCCAGTGAAGAACAGGCTCCTTTTTTCATATGAATTCAGTATATGAAGAACACTCAAGCAGTCAGTATATGAAGAACACTCAAGCCTCACAAAAACGTAATCCTTCAATAAAAGTCCTTTCATTATTACAAAACGACGTTGAATGTATTAAAAAATTATTTAAGTAAAACTTATCAAATAGTTTTATATACATAATTTAGTGGAATCCTTAACAATATATACTATTAATTTCTCTACAAATCAGCCTTCGAACTAACTTAAAAAGTGCAAATCACCTCTTATATAAAAGGTTCTGTCCGAGCGTTGCCATTTGGGGTGGTTCCGAGTGAAATTTTTTGATGAAAATTTTTTAGCATCTTCTTCATTAAGTCTAGTTTATCCATACCAAATTTCAGCTAAAAATTCAACCAATAAGGCAGTCAAATGATTATCTTCAAAAATTCATTTAACTGCCTTCCGATTGAATTTTTTCCTGAAATTTTGTATCAATAAACTAGACTTGATGAAGAAGTTGCTCGAAAAATTTCATCAAAAAAATCCATCGGGAACCGCCCCAAATGGCAACGGCCTTGGAAAATACATAAGTATAATAATAGTAATGTTTTAAAATTATGAACCCCTAATTTTTTCAATTTTTTGGGGCCCTAGGGCTTGGGCCTCTCCAGCCTAACATAAGGCACGGGCCTGCACCCGAGCTAGAAGTATAGGTGTAGAATGTAACGAACTTTTTCCGCTATTAGCCGGGCTTATGCCTGTCAAGGAAAAGGAACAGAGCTTTTATAGAACTATTCTATAACCGAACCCGAGCAGATTTTTAAGTTATAAAGGTTAATCTAACCGAACTTAAACATAGTACTGCTTTTGTCCAAATTGATTTGCATATTTGACTTTTTTTGGGTCAAACAATTTCATTTTATTTGCTTAATTAGGATGTCACATTTTAATTATCTACTTACTTCTACTTATCTACTTACTTACTAATAAAGTAGAACCTTTATAATAATTGCTATTGAGTACAATTTATCAATTATCTAATTGCTATTAAGTACAATTGATGAATGATATAATTGTATTAAGTACAAATTGATGAATGATATCTCTACAACATAATAAGGGTGAACGAAGGTTAGCCTGTTTTGGGTATAGATATTTTGTTGGTGGTACTGTGAGCTGTGTTGACCTGTACATTATGCTTAAATGTTGGAACACTTTGCAATTTGCCTGACTTATATCTCTGATAACTGATGAATCCGCTACCTCCTTTATTACCCTTCCGTTAGTAATTCCCGCGGGCCCATGTTTAGCCGCACAAGCAGGGCTCATCTTTAGCCGCACACGCAGGGCCCTTCTCTTGCTCCATCTCGACTCGCGCAGGCTTCGATCGCGCAGGCTTACCTCATGGTCGGTCATCCCTTCGTCTTCCTCGCAGGTGAGTATTCATCGCATTTATGAAACGATTAACTTCAGCTTGTAACTGCAAATCGATTCTTCTTTTCTCCAATGCGGGTTATGGAATTCCAATTGGCGCGGCCACATTCAATCCTTCTCTCCCATGGTCCTATAAATGCATCTTATTCAATTGGCAGACGATTTTCGCCACCTGCATGCACCTTTCCGGTATGTCTTCTATCCATATTTGGAATTGTTCTGCCTTTCTTTCTGCCTCTACTTTGCAGTCCTTAGTAAATTTTAGTACTTTGTCTTCTACCCATGTCTGAGGTACTTTGTGGTTTGTTCGTTGAGTAGAATACCCAATATAAATGCTTGTTATAGTTGGTTGATAATCTGAGATATTCAAATGACGAATTTTCCTGCAAATAGTTCTTAATTCCTTAAAAAAGTCATAGGTAAATAAGATATTTTTATGTTTTGTTTCTTCTCTTGAAGTCCATTTGAGTTTCTGATAGTGGCTAACCCGCATATACTGAATTCTTGGGAAACATATTCGCATCAGAATATTAAATTCTACTAATTGCGTCACTTAATAAGGCAGACCAATTTCAAATATATTTATTATTTGTAGTTTAAGACATACTTTCCATAAGCTAGGAAAAACCGCTTTCACGGTGAAATTGAAATTAAGCGATGATACTTTGTCAAATTCTATCAATAAGCTTTTTTTCATGGTGTTTTTAGGTTACTAAATCATATGCACAGTTTAGAAACAAAACCGCTTCCTTTTGTTTATTTTGAACTCTGTTATTTAGGTTTTTCTAATTTGAGTGACTATTCTGCTATTCTGAAATGTCATTTAGATGTTCTTAGCACAGCAGTGTTATCTATTGCTATTGGATTTTTTTTAAATTGATTTGATGATTTCTAATGGCTGAATTGTGAGTCAATTTTAGTTAATGAGATGATGTTTGTAGTTTTTAAAGTTTAAAGATGTACGTACTATCCGGATTCATAATTCATACAAACATAAGTGCACTTTTCAAACAAAACTTAAGAGCCAAAAGTAAAAAGAAAACGATTTTGTTAACTCGAGTTAGCCCAACAGTACATTCCGAAATATTTTTAACTCAAAATGAATTTGATAAATACTTTTTTGTTGAGCATTAATTTAGAAAAAATCTCCATTAAAAAGTACAAGAAAAAATAAAATGAAAGAATACGAAATTTTTTTAAAAACACCTAAAAAATAAAATGAAATACATAAAAATATATTAAAAATATATAGGCCTTGCCACTGCATCTGTTCCCACCCATACAGCCGGGTGTAGGATATACGAACTCAACCTCATCCGTCTTAAGGTTGTTTTCTTTTGGATTGAAATTTGCTGGTCTAGTCTGGTCTGATTTGTTTAAATCTGGTCTAAACTGGTCTGGTCTGGTCTGGTCTGGTAAACGTCTGGTCTCTATGTACTCCCTCCGTCCCTAAATGTTGTTCCAATTGCGGATTACGAAGGTTGACCGAAGATAAAATTAAATGATCCCTGTGAAAACTCGGATTATTTTTAGTAAATAAAATTACATATTCAGAAACTACATTAAACCCGCTACAAAGCCTGCAAAAAATAATTCAACTTTTATAAAATTTTGATATAAAAAGTAAGAGTTTAGTGATTTAAGTTGACCTCGATAAGCGAAATGAAACTTCTTTTAGGGACAGAGGGAGTATTTTATAACTATGAAAATTTGGTCTGATCCGATCTGCTTATGTCTGATCTTGGCTACTGAAAACGGTTGAAAAGAAAATATGCTAAATCCTGCACACCGCCTAAAAAAGTGCTATTGCTACATTCCCTTCTTTAACACCGAGCGTGTGTCGTAAAGACTCGTACGAAAGTGCATTTTTGCTGATTTGAACGCAATGGGTTCCGGTGGCTGCGAGGACGTAGGAGCTCCGACGGCTATGGCTTTGGGTTGCTACGATGGCGTACCCGCTACCACTCCGAATATGGAAAATAATTGTTCTAATTCTAGTGTGTATGATCATCATTATAACAGTATGAGTTCCAGCATGGCTACATCCAGCTCAATCCCCATTGATTCCTCTAATATTGGTTTTCGGGTTTGCATCTCCCTCCCAATGCCTTTGCTTTTTAGGGTTTAACATAAAATTCCAGTTTTCTTGCTGAACGTGTAACCTTTCTTTTGCAGTTGCTAAAGAAGCACGGTTGGAAAGAAGGAACCGGACTGGGGATTGCCGGACAGGTGATTATTTTTATTATTATTGTTGTTGTTGTTCATTCAATTCATGCTGATTGTTATCCTTCGTACACACATTGACATGCCAATTTGGGGATTCTGTTTTGCTCCGCAGTCCGCACCCATGGTTCAAATATAACATTGCAGTTGTTATTTCCATTCACTGTTTCTTGGATTCTTGGCATCATATGTGGCAGTATTCCTAAGCTTTATCAAAATATAAATAAATAAATAAATAAATATAAGCGATTTGCTATAGTCTCAAAGATTTTCATGCATTTATGGGGTGAAGAGGAAATCATGGAGGCCTCCTTTTCAACTGTTGCACACTTGCACATTAACATGTTTTCTGATCAATTCTTGGAAAAGTTTCCAGTTGAACAATTTGATGTCTTAGGAATTCGTATATTTGATTTTTAACCATGAAATTATGGATGAATACAGATTACCAACACTACTCACACGATTTTACCCTGTGCTGTAATTAAGGAGGGTCCTTATCTTTTTACTGTTTATGCACTGCTGTCTATAAATAAGCTGTGAAGTAGGTATACTTACGATACATAGTAATGCTGTTAAGTGGTACTCCGTATTTGGTATGCTCCGGTTGTAGTTTTGGAAGATTAATTAAGGGGATTTCATCAAACATAAAATATCTGTTATTCTTAATTGATCCCTGATTGAAGTGATTTGATGTTTGACTTATTTTAAATTTGTTTCAAAGAGTTATTAGTCTGGTAAGCTGTCTTGTTGATTGTTTTTCATGCACAGAGTAGATTTCGTAAATGACTTGAACTTCTATATGAATCGTGCAAGGATAAGTAAGAACACTGGATGATCTCTCAAGGAGAACTGACCCCATACTCACAAATGATTTTTTCATCTACGAGATCCCTTGTTATTTTATGCTCATTGAGAATGATATTTCTTTGCTTTAATTCTCTTAAGACTCTTAGAGCATAGACACACAATATCCTGCCATTCTGCAATAAAAGAGAATTGTTAAACATTTTTTTTTCTAACAGGGTAGGCTGGAACCTGTAGAAGCACATGTTAACAAGAATAAGCTAGGTTTGGGAGCAGAGAAAGGAAAGAAAGCAAGTGCGCCAGAAAATAGCAAAAAGTACAGGAAGGAAGATAAAGTAAGTTACTTTTAATTCAATTTCAACTAATAATTACAGCGGCATTTGTTTATATTATTCACGGGAGCTTGATTAGTGCACAATAATGTTCAAGTGGGTATGATGATACGAACTTCTATAGTCTCCTTATTTTCCAATCGTCAGCACGACCTATATACTCCCTCCATCCCAAAATCCAAATTGCTTTTGGCATGGATTTAATGAGAAATGATAAAAAGGGGTATGTGACCTTTATTGGCTTTATAAGAGGTTTTGTAAATAGTCCAACTTCTCAAATCATAAAAGAGTAAACTGATGTAGGATTTTGATAGGGATAAAAGAAGCCTATTATTACTTTACTGTTATTCTTA